ATCTGGCTCCGAGGAAGAGGGCCCCTCGTTGCATGTTCCTGTTTATATATCGGCTGCCTGTATGGAGAACTGGTGGGGTTTTTGGCTTGTTGATGTAAAGCAAGAACAGTAGGACAGCAGGAAGAGCAGTTCTCAAATAAGAAGCTGCTCTCTTCTTCATCTTCTTCTTTTCATCTCTCTGATTCATTGATGGCCAGTCACAATGGGGCAGATTAAACGCTTTATGTCAATGGACATCTATTTTTGGATATCATACATGAACTGCCGGTAGACCTGGTAAATGTTTTGTTAGATGTTCATCGAAGTTTTTTTGAAACACCCAAGGAGATATTTACCTCTTAAATAACAGTTCACCTAAAACAGTTTAAATAAATGGTGTCTAACCATTTTGAAAGCTTGCTCAGGTTTATTATTTAGTAGGCTTGTCAATGTTAAAGCTTGCGATTAATCAGGAAAAAAATGAACACTAATAATGACATTACCAAGTTTGACCCCGACTTCTTCCCACATTTTTACCATTATTGCATGCCACTGAAAAGTCAAAGAAAGCAGAGGAACTGGTACAAGCTTCATGTATTGTGCTGACTGGACACACACCACTGGAGGAAAGGCATTATGCTGAAGCATGCACAAGGTTACACAGGAGTGGGAGATACTGGACAACATCTAGGAACAGAAAGTACCTGCAGTATGAAAGTGGCAACAAGAATACTACTACACTAGCACTGATTTAGAAGTGTATACCTTGTGCATGCTTTAATTGACAAATTCATATTGTTAAATATTTTTGTTTGGAATGTTAACATTTGTCCATTTAGCACAAAGACAAAAAATACAGTGGAGGATGATGGGAACCAAAATATAAATGTTATAGTGGCGCTAAACGGTAATGATGCCAATTTATTGTCCACATCACTGAGGACCTGACATGGAATCATCACATAAACACCATCACTAAAACAGTTAGACAGCAGCTCTTTTCCTCCTTCAAAATGGACTCCAGATACTCTGCAACTTCTACAGATGCACCATAGAGAGCATCCTGACCTACAGGTGCACCATAGAGAGGATCCTGACCTTCTACAGGTGCACCATAGAGAGGATCCTGACCTTCTACAGGTGCACCATAGAGAGGATCCTGACCTTCTACAGGTGCACCATAGAGAGCATCCTGACCTTCTACAGGTGCACCATAGAGAGGATCCTGACCTTCTACAGGTGCACCATAGAGAGCATCCTGACCCTCTACAGGTGCACCATAGAGAGGATCCTGACCTACAGGTGCACCATAGAGAGCATCCTGACCTTCTAGAGGTGCACCATAGAGAGGATCCTGACCTACAGGTGCACCATAGAGAGCATCCTGACCTTCTAGAGGTGCACCATAGAGAGGATCCTGACCTACAGGTGCACCATAGAGAGCATCCTGACCCTCTACAGGTGCACCATAGAGAGGATCCTGACCTACAGGTGCACCATAGAGAGCATCCTGACCTTCTAGAGGTGCACCATAGAGAGCATCCTGACCTTCTACAGGTGCACCATAGAGAGCATCCTGACCTACAGGTGCCCCATAGAGAGCATCCTGACCTACAGGTGCACCATAGAGAGCATCCTGACTGGCTGCATCACGGCCTGGTACGGCAGTTGCACCACCCACAACCTTAAGGCTTTACAGAGGGTGGTGAAAACTGCACAGCACATCACCAGGACGGAGCTGCCATCCATGGAGGACCTTTACTCCCAGCGGCTCAGGAGGAAAGCCCTCAGGATTATAAAAGACCCCCATCACCCCAGCCACAAACTGTTCTGTCTGCTGACGTCTGGCAGGTGCTACCGCAGCATCCGGACAAGAACCACCAGACTCAGAGACAGTGCTTCCCGAGCTTGCACTATTGTTATTTTTATTGTTGTTTTTTTGTATTAACTTTTTCATCTCTTGTAAATTGCACTGTTGAGGAACCTGCGATCTGAGTGTTTTCATAGATTACATAATTACACCGTAGTTTTGCATTGTGATGACAATAAACCTTTGAATATTGAATATTTAAAAAGTAAAAAGATTCATCCCCTGGGGACTATGCACATACTTTCATGGCAATCTGTGAAATATTCTTATATATCACTATATTTGTTGAAATATTTCATTAAAAACCAAAATGTCCATATCGTAGTGGCCCTAAAAAAGAAATCAGAGGATCACCAATGTTAGCAGGGTTCATCCTCTGGCGACCATCAATGTTTGTACAAAATGTGTCTATCAACCAATAGCAGTTGAGCTGTGTCACCCAGCAACAAAGTAATGGACTGTGTCGTAACGTGGCTAAAAGTATTTAAAAACAAATAAATGCGTCACACTGTTGCACTGGGTGACAAGTAACTCATTCATTCCGGTAAACACACACACTAGTTTATATTGACTCAATCCCCCAGAGACCATTATGCCGCTGTAAATAACCACTAGAGCAGCAAAAGTAGCTTTAAATAATCCCTGCCATTTTCTCCTATTTTAGCAGCCTCTCATTCACCTCCTAGAAGGAACATGTTCATGCTCAGAGTCACATACAATGTAGAGTTCAAAGCTCCTGGACTCCAGTCAGTCTGTCCATTCATACAATCAAGGGAAGCCCAGTGCAGACTGAGTGTGTCCCGGTACACTCAGGCCCATCTCCCCGCAGCCAAACACAATAAACACCCCCAGAGGTCGGCTTCAATCGCCATCTCTTTAGAATCAGGTGGAGACCCAAATCACACCCGCCTGTTGTAACAGTGTATAAAAGAGTTGAAACAACCCGCCCTCAGGACCCCAGGCGTCTGGGTGGGGGTCATCAAACATCCCCCCCGCTGTGTAACGAGGCTTCAAAGAAATCGGGGGTTGAGAAAGAGGCACAATTTTTATTTTCAAACTCGTGGTTCATGCTATGAGAAAAGGAGGAACAATGAGGATGTACCATAGACTGTATATACTGTATAAGGGATGTACACATTTCTTAGAAAATCTGTGAACGTTTTTAAAGACTCCATTTGGCTTTTCAGGTTCGATTAAGTTCAAACAGCTGTCATTGAAATGACTATCATTACAGCCTTGTAATGTATGTACATGTATGCCCCCCCAACCAGTTAAGATGCAGTTGACTTCCATGTGTGTCTAAAATGCAGAGGAAGAAGAAGTATTCAGATTCTTTACTCAAGTAAAAGTACTAATACAACACTGTCCAAATACTCTGTTAAAATCCTGCATTGACAAAGATTCTAAAGTAAAAGTATAGAATTATGCAAAATGTATGTAAATGTTTCAAAAAATGTAAGTACTAATCATGCAGAATGGCTCTTAAAAGTGTTTTATTATTCTATATTATTATTTTCTAATAAACACATAATATTTGTCTTATGTTTCAGTTCTCCAATGAGGATCAAGGTTTGGAAAACATATGTAACTAGATAAGTGTTAAAAATCTAATTACTTAGATATTTGTAAACGATAATTAATGATCTCTCAGTTGGCTAGTTGACGAACCGTCTAAGCTGTTCTTTGTTTAAACTGTTGGCTAGTTTCATTTACAACAACATTTTACATTTTTTAGAAACTTTTGTTTTTTATGCAAACATCTTAACTTGAATTGTAAAAAAAATGTTGTGAAGTTAACATAATATTTGTCTTTCAATTGTAGTGGAGTTGAAGAATAAAGTGTCATGAAAAGAAAACACTGAAGTCAAGTAAATCTTCATTGTACTCGAGTAAATGTAGTTAAATTCCACCACTGCCAACATTTCATCACTTCATTTTATAGTATAGGGATATTTTTGAAAGTAACATTATTAGCGTGCTAATTCTTGATTTATGCCCAAACAAGTGTTTCGTTAGGTGACAGTGAGCTTGAGCTTTCACCACCGAAATCTAGTGTTGGAAGAAATACTCTGATCCTTAACTGAAAACAAATACACGAATACCATGGTCTTCAAACACTCCACTGCAAGTAAAAGCCCTGCTTTTAAAATGTTACTTAAAATAGCCCATTTCGGAATAAAAATAAAATACCGATGAGTTATCAGCTAAGTATCAACAGTAAAAGTACTTGTTTTGCAGAATGAATCTTTTCACACTATTATATTACACTGGTTAAATGTATGGTTAAATTATCCTCTTTTGACACATGTAAGAGCATTTCAGTTTGTCAATGTGGACCAAATGTAGGTAAGAGATATACTGTGTAGATTAGTAGTATGTGTTTCTTTCTATATGCAGAAACTGGTGTGAATGTAAAATTAATGTAGTGGAGTAAAAAGTAGTGTTGTAGTCAAGACCACCTTAACCGAGAGCAAGTCATGACCAAGAGCGGAGTGTACCAAGACCAAGACCAGACCAAGACTTTAAGAGGTCGAGACGAAGTCAAGACCAAGAACAAGGCAGGGCGAGACTGAGTCAAGACCGGAACCAACACTACATAATACACTTACAATAAAATGTGGAAGAAACCATATATTTGATCTGAAAGATCCACATCCAAACAGTACATATCAATTCAACTTCATCATATTTAATCAAAAAGTGATTTCATTTAAAAACAGTAAATTAGTAAAATGTGTGGTTTGTGTAGCCAAATCATCGAGAATTTCGAGTCCTATAGGTCCGAGACCGAGGACAAATGCAGTCGATTCCGAGACAAGACCAAGACCTTTAAAAAGTGGTCTGGAGACCAAGACCGGTCTCGAGTACTACAACACTAGTAAAAAGTAGGATATTTGCTTCTGAAATGTAATGGAGTGTACAAGTAAAAAAGTAGCGATAAATGGAAATGCTGTAGTAAAATACTTTTCACAAATTCAGAAATCTGATCAGATCATCATCGAGTCGGTGTGGATTTATGTGCCAAATTTGATCACATTTAATCATGTTGTTCCTGGGATATTGTATTCCCATGGACAAACTGAAAACATCGTTGCATAAAGGTGTCTCACTACATAGGAAAGCAAGTAAAGAAAACACACCGAGATATAGATCCTTTTCACATCACACATACTTTATTGTTATACACCATCTATATATATATATCAGTTTCTTTACAATCATTTTTACATCTATATCATGTGACACCTTTGGGTGGTTTTCAACATTCTCCCTCCACCCCTCTGGAGCAGGGAGAAAAACACATCATGGTTGCACAGCTGCCTATAAGGAGCCATCCAGGTGGAGCAAAGCATGCTGGGAGGGGAGAGGGGCCAGCTGAAGCCCCACGGGGCGGGAATGTCGGCGCCCACTAAACAAATAAACAGCTCAATATGTACTGCATACACCTGCTAAAACATCACACTGGGCTACACATGGCATGGAACAAGTATCCATGGTGTAATGAGAAAAATACAGCATCATGACGGAGTCCTATAATATGGTTAGAAAGGCGGACAGTGATACAAATCTGCAAAAAAAGGCAATGTAGACGGACATTTTCCCCAACATTTGCATTGGAATAATTGACATTGAATTCAAGTTTGAAAAAAGGCATTCAAAAAAAGAATATGAGTAAATGCCATGGAGGATGAAGGCAGTCAATGGGGCACAATTTCAAATACATGGTTGAGCGAGATGAAGGCAGTACTGAGTCCCTCGTCTCCATGAAACACTGAATGTGTAAGAAAAGAAAAAAGCAGCCATGAAACATTCCCAAAACGTGCACTCTTGTCAGGGTCTATCTAGCAAATCTGAAGCCTTTATAACAGCATCATCTGCATAAAGTCGGATCTTTGACATGCATTTGAAGGCCGTTCATTCAGAATATGGCGTCCACGGGGGCCAGGGGGAGAGGGGGAGAGGGAGCAGGGTTTGAATGCCTGATGGGCAGGAGGGAAGGAACGGCTATTTCTAAGAAGCTTAGGCCCCCTTTGGACTGTTGCATTGTTCCCTTAGGATTATAAAGACAGCCGGGACCTCCCACCCCTCCCCCAACTCAACTGTACGTCAACAGAGGAAACTAGAAGGAGCCAGATACAAGCAGGTTTCTGGATTTTAGTGCAAATTCCTCTTCTAAAGTAAAAGACGTATGACCAGGCATATCTGAGGAATTACAGATCATTCCAAGTTGGGTTACTCCCTGTAACTTTGTATCCGCCCTACTCTCTTTTCTTCAAACCAACCCTTCTCTCTCTAATAGCGCTGCATAGTAAGATTCACCCAGAGTACAGCAGCTATACTGGACAGGAGCCAAACAGGCACACTGCCAGACTTCTTTATATGATGCAAGATTGCATAAGATGCCCTTTCTATTCAAATGACAAAATCTTCATCTGCTTTCTTTTTTTCCCTGCAGAGTTGTTGGATCAAGTGAACAAGACAAAGGAGGGTTTGATTTATGTAGATGACCGTAAACCCGTCATAAGGTACATGAAGTGTTCGTTAAGAAGATAAAATAAAGCCGCAGTAAAGTAGAGCTTTTGATTTTTAGTAAAAAATACATTTTAAAAGTGGAAAATCAAACAAAATTCCAGCATCAGCAAAAAGAGCTTTACAGTTTTTTCCTTGAATCACCCTACTATCATTGTTTAACAATATGTGGTTTATAGTGGCCTTTAATTGAACACCATTTCCCATACTCCCATGGGTCGGACATGTCTGTAATAACAGTATACGCTGTACGAGATTTAAACCGGCAGAGATAACACAGATTTTGTTTTAGAGATGCATAAAAACAAGTTATGACGATGGAAGTATTTGTGCAAACATTTCTTGGGTGTTACAAACTTGTTTAGCTCTTATTAAAATCACGAAGGCTTGGAATTGTAGTAGCCGCTGCTAATAGTAGATGCTAATTTGAGTTGTGTAAAAGAAACCATTCATTTCCCCCGAAAGAAATGGGAGATTACTTTTAGTTGGGAAGCAGTGAAAGCCAATATAAACAAAGTGCTTGACAGGCGTTGTGATTCACGAGGAAATTGTAGTCAGTTGGTCCCACTGCGTCACCTCAGTTTGACTTCAATTTAAAAAGATTGAAGACATTTAAACTACTTCCGAGATTCTACGTTACAGTAAAATACTTGTAATTATTTCCCGAACCACAACAGTAACTTTTCAATTTGTTCAACCATCTCACTTGATTAATCTCAGCCACAAACATTAAACAGACAGATGTGAACAAGACAGCATTCAACCAACCAAACCAGAGACAGCAGTTCCCTCCAGAGATAGCCTTGAGAGGACCTGAACAGCTAGTTATCCACAGGTTCACCCAGTGGTTCCCAACCTGGGGGGCGCAGCGCTATTGCAGGAGGGGCGCGTGAACTTGGGAAGAAGTTGTAAACAAACATTGTTTGCTCGTAAAATCAATAAAATGGACACATTTTTAACACAACCGGCAGTTAAAAGAAAAGTGGACGAGCCCACGACATGCCTTTCAGCTATAATGCCAAAATCAACAAAGTATGATGAGGCATCCATCTCCCTTGACATCTAACGTGTTCGGTGCGGGGATCTCTCTCTCTCTCTCGCCTGTTTGTTTGTAGCCTTTATTTAACCAGGTGAAAGCCCCTTGAGATCAAAAGATCTCTTTTTCAAGGGTGAAGATCTGTGTGTGTGTGTGGGGGGGTGCACAGACTCGCTGCAGCACCGTGCACACAGAGATCTGCCGGAGGACAACAGAGCATTCAAAAGTGACAATCTACAGAGCTCGATGTGGTCAATGCTCGTTTGCCATAAGTATTTTCGCGGAAACACGAGCAATCTGTCCATCAGCTGGCCAAAAGGCATCATATTCATACGGAGAAATGCACCGTTTTCAACTTCCTTAACTCGGAGTTCTGTTGCCCCAATTACGTGTAAGGTGGGAGAAGTACTCAGATCAAGTACTTAAGTAAAAGTAGTAGACTGCAGGGTAGCTTGTGAATTTACTCCAGGTGTAACTAACGTCTGATTTAAGAGTTGATTATATTTCACATCATTCATCCACATCTGTGAAGTAACTAAAGGTATTAAATACATGTAGTGGAGTAGAAGTACACCATGTACCTCTGAACTGTAGAGGAGCAGAAGTACAAAGAAGCAAAAGTGGAAATACTTAACACTTAAGTACCTCAATATACAGTACAGTACTTGAGTAAATCTACTTACTACCACCACTACAGGTAGGCCTATGTTATGTGTGCCAGCAGCCCATAATCCACACTATACATAAAATGAATCAATGTGAATTCTGTTTCTACTTTGTTTAGTTTTCCCCCTAAAAAACAACTTGTAAAAATACTGTTAAAGAACCCGATCGATAAGCAGTATTTGTAATTGTTTCAATTAGGCCTCATTATTCACAGTGGAACAGGATCATCTTCCAATACAAGCACTTTTGTTCACGTTCAATCCATAATAAAATATAACATTATAGTTGGATCTTTTTATCTTGTTATAATTAGCAGAGAAAATGTAATGTTTGTACAACTATATACAATTCAATCTACCAATCTCGGTGGGAATCGGATTAGGGGGGGCTCGGAAATGTTTCCAATTACACAAGGGGGGCCTGACTGAAAAAGGTTGGGAACCGCTGGGTTAACCAATTCCTCTACCAGTGTCTGACTCCTGAAGTCCTGTATTGGTGAAACTCATGGCAGTGATTTGGAATATTTAAGGCACTGTAGTTTGAATACTTGAAACTCCTGTAAAAAAGAAGAGAAAGAAAGAAGGATATTGGGAGGGAACGGCTTCTCTCAATCAGCTTTTTCCTAAAATGCATGTATGTGCTACAGTGACCTGGCATTATTGTGTGCGCAAAGTAATGGTTCTTTTAAAACCCTTCCGTATGTGAGGGATGTTTGAACGTCACATACTGTAAGAAACGAGGGTTTCTGAATGTCAGATGTCCTATACACAGTATCATCTCTTCATAACACTTTTAAAAACATACATTCTAATCATCTTATTAATGTATACATGATAACATCTACGATAAACCCAACAACCCGCCATACAGGATTAAAAGCCCTTGATGACTTTAAATCTCCTGGGCTTCCTGCTGTATCATTGTATGGATATAAACATCACAGAGGAAGTGAGAGGTGTAGCACAGACTGCGGCCAGCACATGGTGCTGCTGATTTGTTTCCTAAGCTCGTTCTACGCTGAGCTGCAGGTAAAACCCACATGTGCTGTAACTAATGGACTGTTAATGTAGAATAAATAGGATTTCTGTTAAAGAAAAGTCAGTTAAACAAAGTATTTCCCCCACAGCAACCATCCTTTCTTGCGATTTAGTCTGCACCAAAATCAAAAATGGTTTGTATTAAAAAATAAATCCATTTGCAGTAAAACTGAAGATCCTGTGATGAAACGTCATCAAGCTTAAAAAGGAGTAAAAAAGGAAAGCAGAGTCCGGGCACAGAGTAACGGTGTGTTTTACTGTGTGTTCTGGCTCCAGCGGCGTCAGTGTTTGCCCTCTTCAGCCGACGGCGCCTCCTGCAGGAAGGGAGAGAAGGAGGAGCGCACGGTGCGGCCGCACTGAGACTGCTGCACGCGGAAGTTGTTCACCATGCCCTTCTGCACTTCCTCATCAGCTGCGGTGAAGAGAAGGCTGCGGAACACCGCCAGCTGAAGGAGGAAAAGACACAGTCAGAAAAACATAATATACACAGGCTCATTTAGCTCATCCTGTTTGTAGAAGGGTGCACATCTTAAGGAACAACATGCTGCCGTGCAGGTTAGTACAGCTCAGTGTTACTCCCTTCATTGTTAGAATAGTTGGGCACACCCCTTGATGGTCAGGATTGTTGCAATGCTCTACTGAAAAGGACCGCTGATAAGCTTCTTCATTTTTACCTTGAAAATATAACCGCTACTGAAAGAAACACTTAAGACCACCAGAGAGAAACATTAGCATTTAGGTTTCTTGACTCCTGTCAAATGTAAATAATGAATCTTCTTTTAGCTCTGTTTCGGTCTCTCTGCCAACTCCTGAGGAAAAGATGTCTCTAAATGCTGCATTATGTTCACCATGTTTAAAACATAAAGAATGGACATGCAAGAAGTAAAGATATTTAGTTTAAATCTCACACACACCTGGTCATGGCTGACTTCGATGTGCTGCTTCATCACCATCCAGGTGACGGACTCAGTGAGAGGGGGGGTGGTCAGAGAGCCGTGGTAGGTCCAGTAGTCGTCAGTGTTGCTGGGTAACAGACAGGCTGGGTCGAACCGGTTAAAATCCACTACACTGTTCTGCAAACACACAGAGACAACAGAAGAAATGATTTTAAGGTTACGGGCATGAGACACGCAAAATCATAGCAGACACATACACTGTGCACACAGAAGTTCTTATATTTAAAAGATAAAACACTATACTATTCATATCTCCTGTTATACTCATTCAGGTATCCGTGAAAAACGTCATTATCATTACAGCACAGGCGGTAACCATAGAAGAATGAAGATATTATCTAAGTAATACAATCATCATTATCCAGTATAAATATGCCGTATACAAATGTGGCATTTCCTTTTATCGGGCAAACAGCCTTATCAGACAATATTAGAGATAAGCAGTGTAGTAGCAGTGATGTGAAAGAAGGGCAAACATGTACAACCAACAACATATAAACATATATGAAGTACATTTCTGAAAATAATGTATTTTCATTACACACTAGTAACTCCTAGGCTGTTTAAGCATCAAGATCGGTCAATTCTAAACTGGTAGATTCATTAATAACAATTAATAATGTATTGAATCTTTCGCATTATAGTTCCTGGTATTTGAAACACTGACACTGTGCTTGTGCAACACGCAATGTCACACAGGTATTACATCTCAACGGTTATTCAAAGACGGATCCAATTGGTCTATTATGGATAGGCCAACAGGAATTAGATCTTTTTAAGTTTGGGATTTTGCTTGTGAATATTGTTCCTGGGTGTCTTTACTGAACCACCAGAGGGCGCAGGTGTTACCAAACCGTATCAGATTTTTTATAGATTTTATATTGGTCAATATATCTATATAAGGCATCAGAATGTTATCTTCAAAAAGCAGGAATGTGGTGTGTGTGTATTTGTGTGTGTGCATTAACCTTGTGTCTGATAGCAGGCAGGGCGTCTACCAGCTTCTGCAGCCCTTCGTGTCTCTTTCCCACCTACACAAGGATCAGACTCATTCATCTGTCAGTTGAAAGCTGCATATGCAAAACACACCAGGTTATCGAGTGAAACATGTCTGCGTTCCATGTGTGACGTGTGCACCTTCAGAAAGACTCCAATGACAGCCAGCCCGTTTTCCTCCATCACGGCCTCCTCAAACAAACTGTATTTATCAGAGTTCCAGTGCACCAAGTGGAGCTGTGAACACACGCAGGTCACAAATACATCATCAGAAATCAGCAATCTTAAAATAAGAAGTAGTAGCATTATAAAGAAAGTGAACATATTAAAGTAGTGAAAGTAGCAGAGAGTAATAACAACATTTAACTGTAAAAAGTATATACACTGCACAAAAGCAGTGTTGCAGATTACAATTCTGTGTGTGTGTGTGTGTGTGTGTGTGTGTGTGTGTGTGTGTGTCTGTATCCTATAGCCTTGATCTTTTAAACCCTAGCCCAATCATTCTGTCCCAACTGAAAGCTAAATAAATGGAGAATAAATGAAACAGAACAGGCAATAACAGCCCAAGCTTTTCGATAAAGAAACATACTGTATAGCTATTGTTTAATTTCACTTGTGGGGCTTTACATGAAGAACCTTCATGACCTTTTTCATTCTAAAACATACCTAAAATACCATATATTTAGGACAAATTCAGTGCATGTGTAGAAGAGCAGCAGATCTGTTTGTGCATAAATCAAAACTACCAGTCAAAAGTCGACTATGACTAGGGCTGTGCGATTATGGCAAACATCATAATCACGATTACTTTGGTCAATAGTTGATATCATGATTATTAAAAACTATTATCCATTTACTTTGAAAACATCCATTTATTGAAAAAATAAATGTGAACAGTATGTTTTTAACAGTTGATTACCCTGAACTTTAAGTAGAATTCAACTGAATTTAAAAAAAAAATAATAATAAAAAAAACAATTACATTTTTTATTTTTAATAAAATTAATAATTGTTTTATTTCTATTACGTTGTTTTCGTAATCGTTGCCATCCAAAATCGAGATTAAAATACTATTAATTGAGCAGCCCTAACTATGGATGAATAAACTAAAAAACAAACATCTAAATAAGTCATTTTCTATAAACCGGGCGGGTACGGAAAAATACATAAAAGTAACCCAATTAGATTTACCCACAGCACTAATCATTTGCACAGTGTCTTTGACAGCTTCAATGCTGTCAGACAGGACCGTAACTTGATCCTCTGCACACACACACTTACACACACACACACACACACAAAGACTGCTGAGTGATGACAACTATGACACGGACACATTCCCATTGCTACAACAAGAGCTTTGCCGAGGAACACACGCAGTTAGTGCAACCTTGTGTTACATAAGTGTCCTAAAGTTAATGGAACAACGTGAAAATAGATATTCGGTGTTCATATGTGGGGTTAGGCAACATAACTGGTTTCATGTCCCTCACACTGAGAGAAAAATAAACAGTCTGTTTGAATTTGGATTTATTGATATAAAGGGAAATGTAGAAATACCGCTGGTTTAAAAGACATGCCTGAATCACAACTCTCAGTATTTTTCCAGACATTTCCAGAAGGACACATGAATAGAAAATAAATGAGATCGTAAGTCAACACCTATGATGTTTAAACAGCATAGTGTGACATTTTTTTTCTTTCTTCTTTTCTTTCTTAGGAGACGATTTGGGCACTAACTGTTTTTTTCTTCTCTCCATTATTGAAATAGCTGTGTTTTTAAATACCTATCTGACTTGTTCTCCTCTTGATGACCTGGTCACACACACCTGGCATATACGTCACAGCGCATTTGTATGTACAAATGTTTTAGAAATGACATGGTGACATACTATCTGTGCTGCAGTACCTCTTTTCACCCTCTGTCTGAAACCAGAGCCCAGTCTGTTCTGATTGGTTCGCTGGCCGGCTCTGTTGTGATTGGTCAACCGCTTAGAGATGTCCCGCCCCTTAGCCTATCCCGTACAATGTGTTGGAGCGGTAGCAAATAGAATTGCGAGTGTTACGTAGTGGTGTCACTATGTTGCATAAGTAAACAAAGGAGTCAAATGGAGGAATTTCAGGCAGCGGGGGGGGGGGGGGGGGGGGGGGGGGAGAGAAACTCCCTTTAGAGGGAACACAGGGATTTTAGCCTTTGCAGACCATTTACATGCACTCAAACCTAAATCACACACTACAGGAAAGGGAAAACAAAGCATAGTAGGGCCCCTTTAAGTGTCTTGCCAAAGAGGTGGGCATCGAACCGATGACCCTCTAATTCAGGGGTGCCCAACCAGTCGATCGCGATCGACCGGTCGATCGCGGGGAGATTCCCAGTCGATCGCGAGATGTGTCTAAAAATAGAACAACAATATTCTGTTTTATCGTTAATGTCCTGTAACATAATCTTCCTGTGCCAGAATAATGCACTTGAACGCATCAAAGCTTTGTGATTGGCCGGCGTGACCCCATGTGTCAGGGCGTGGCTAGTGGGCAGTGCACTCGTTCGCTAACGTTGTCCGTGTCAACAGGAGTGACAGTCCGCACACACACAAGACCGCAATTATGGCAGAAGCAAAACATATATAATTTTCACTCCGAATGGGAGGATGATTATTTTTATATCTATTCCAATTCAAAGTCCATCTGTCTCATCTGCAATGCGAGCGTGGCTTTATCGAAGAAGGGTAATTTAGGAGCGGCATTTCAAAACAGTGCACAAACGCTACGAGACGGAATTCCCTCCTAATTCTGCCCTACGCTCCAAAAGGGGAGGGGCCTGAGAGGACAGCTAAATGCACAGCAGTCCATTTTCACCAGGCCCAACAACAAGAGCAAGGCTGCTACCAGAGCATCTTATCGTGTCAGTCACGTTCTTGCGAAACACATGAAGTCTTTCAAAGACGGCGAAGTTGTGAAAGAAGCTTTCCTGGAGGCTGCCGACGCGTAATAAAAATAACAGAAGCATTTCAACAGGTTTTTGATATAATAAAAACTCAAGTTAGATACCGTTATTAATCAGCTGTAAGTTTGAGTTTGTTTGAACTAATTCATTATAATTATTGTACAAAATGGTATAAGAATGCAAACTTAAATTGATTATAGTCTATCATCAATTCAGGTTAATAAACTAGTGTTGCTTGCATCCTATTTTAAAAGGCATTTATTTTTATAATCTACTAAAATGCAACAAAAAAATGGTTTGATTCTATTAATTTTGTCTTTTTTATTGCACTTTGGCAGCAGATTCCTGTGTAGCTTCAGATCTGAGTCGTCTTATTAGTAAGCCTAATTTGAATGGCAAAGAAAGGGTTCAGAGTATTTTCTTTTTTCCCTGTGTCATATGTGGCAGCACTGTTCAATGTTTCTTGAAAACATTACCCACTGTAGTATGTGACGTGTGAATAAACTCCAACTCTGTATCAACAACACTGTTGTGTAACTTCAGTTAAATACTTGTATGTGTGTAGATTAGAAAGAGGTAAGATAAAGGATCTGCAGTATTTTATGGAGTATTCATCGTACAAAGGTCAGTTTTATACAAGTAGAAGTGTGTATTTATCTGGTAGTAGGCTGTCAGTAATGGCTACACCTCTCTATTTGGTCTGGTAGATCTCGGCAGACTGGCAACTTTAAAAGTAGCTCTCAGTTCAAAAAAGGTTGGGCACCGCTGGTCTAATTGGTCATATTTATGTTGCTCAGCAGCAAGCAGTTGAGCTTTTTTTAAGAAACAGCGGGTACAAAAAAGGCTACAAAGATGCTGCTGATACTATATATATATATATAGCTATTCTAGGCCATTAGCTGTGTCCAAGCACAATGGTATCCCTCACTGCTAAAATGAGCTCATCTGTTTCAATATAGCTTAAACTCAACCGTGTTGTTCAGTTAGGAAATGCAGTGACTTTAACACTGAGAGAGTGGAAGAGCTGACGAAGGAAATGAATGGAAAATTCCACTAGCCACTAGGATCATGTATGTGGTCTTGTGCTGGCAGGCCCATAACTCCAACTGGTCATATGGGCCCACCCATTTTCCGTTAGCGTTATACTTCTGGTGACTGCATTTATGCTACAAAAACCTTATTAGTGGAGTAAATATGTGGAGATTATCCTGGTGAATAAAACCTGAAGGTTTCATAAACCTGTGTTTTCCAGAGACCTTATTTTCTGCGATGTTTCAAAACCCAATGGAAAAATCACATTGCTTTTTGTTGATGGAGCCTCACGGTCCGGCCCACAAAATACATCATCACTGCACCACTGTTTTATACTGCAAAGTGTTCTTATTATTGTGTACACCCCCTGGACATGCTCACAATATTGCGAGGCAGATCAAATAAATGCCTAAAGGGTATGAAATATGATTGTAATAAAAGTGAATGGATATGCTTCGTGGGTTCTATTTATTTTTGAATTAAGTTATTCTACAGCAAATATCCTTTTCTTATCGGTAATATTACAGAAGTATTCTGAATCAGACCTCCCTGCAGGAATGATCTATGTTTGGTGCTCACTACCTGCTGTGTGTTAATGTATTGTTGCATGATACAGCACGGTACCTACCTCTGCAGAGAACAGCTTCCTGTCTACGGTGTGCTCCGACCCCCAGGCGTTGCTCTCCCCCCAGTGGAAGTGGAACTGGCACAGCCGGTATTTGTCTTGCAGAGGGCCTCCTTTCACCGCTGCACCAGAAAGATATTCGGATCAGAACATACGGATCTGTGCACCATACTTTGACTTTACGGGCGGGTTTGCCATTTAATTGTATATAATAATGTTAAAGGCCAATTCAAACCCCCGTAAGGTTTGTGGTTTGACTGTTGCTCGTGGTAAATAGGCATCTACTAATCGGATAGTGAGCCGTTTGATCCTCAGTCAACATTTCAAAGTGTCCCCGAAAATGTCTCTTGAAAAAACTGTCAGCTAAAAGACAAGTAGTGTACATTTTAGAAGAAACTTAAAATTTGAGAGCAGCTGTTGACCTAGAAGAAACAATGAACAGCTTTCACAATCCTTTTAAAAGAACATAATGCTCATCATCCAAAAGAATCAAATGTCTGTCTAGTATCTGTTTCCTCCTCCAAATGGAGGAAATGATCCCACAGCTGCTGAGGAACAGATTCCATCCAGGACATATTGTATAGCAGAGACAATTATCTCCTATTTGGCAAGGACTTTTCATTACCCCTGTACATTCCAGTAATATTACCGACAGATAAGGAAAGGAAAGATAAGGTGGTATATTAAAGATTGTACTTAAAGTACCCGCTGGCATGCCTTGATCCCTCCATTGTTTCCTTTGTGTTTAACTGGTGATAAAACGCTGTTCTCAACATTGTTAACCTGTTTTGTTCCCTCACTACCACACTAAGCTCTTTATGCACAGACTGAGGGCATGTGGCACCTTTAAAAAGCATTTGTGATTAGTTTGTATGCTTTGGAAAGTTATGTAGAGTTTGGAGTGGAGCCCAGTGATTAACATCACTTTAAAGATAGAATATGGTAGTTGTTGAGATCACGGGAGTCACATGACAGTCACCAGACCTATTCTGCTTTTTATCAACAGCTTTAAGTGTAGCATTGATGACAGGGTTCTCCAACACACAGAAGGCTCTTTAAGGGGTGGATAATCCTTTCTTGTGAATTAAAACATGCATTCCCCATACTGAAATGTCCTTGAATCAGATTAAAAGGGAAGATGATGTAAATGTTAACACATCTTGAGATGTTTTAAGACGATTTAGACCTAGCAGACACAGAAGAGTACTTACTGGACTTGTCTGTGGTGTCATCATATTCCACCAGGAAGGAGTAGCCGTTGTTCCAGATCTGTTGGCAGGTCTGCGGGTCGTAATCAGTGACCAGAGGCTTCAGCTCCGAATCGTAGACGCTCTTCCGGATCACGATGTCGATGGGAGACTGGCGATCGCCTCCTGGTATCGCGAGGGGTTCCTGCCACATGGGATGCACTGGAGGAGAGAAAGGAGAAGAAGTCAATTCAAGAGAAAAGTCATATTGAATAAAAAAACAGCCAGGACTTCTTCTTGTTCGTGTCTGCTGTTCAAGAAGACACACAACAAACTGAAAAATGATGACACCTACTTTTCATGTTGTGCTCTGCTGCTTCCTTCATTCTACAGCAGTCCATTTTAAAACAAACTCTTTAATAAATATTAGAAAAACGACTCAGTGCTAGACACACAGGTCCGTCTTCTTCCTTGAGCTGTTTAAAGGAACTGAATGAATATGGAAGAAGTGAGTAATAGTACTTCCTTCTAGTCCTCTCAAAAGGAAATTACAAAATAAGAGAGAAGTGGGCTGGCTGTACAGAATCTGACACGCGGAATGTCCTGGCACGCCCAGGCCCCAGCACCCCTCCACAGCGGGGGAATCCGACCGGGACCTCTGGCCGGTCAAACTGCCGGCTCGGGCCAATGTCTGTCAACGTCCTGACTCCTAATTACACCAAACTCCGCTCACTTTCCTTTCCTCCCTCCTTCTCATTTCCATTTCTATTATCCTATGAAATCCACCAAAAAAAATATTACGGTAAAAATGGAGTAAAAGGTTGTACATTCTACAAAAAAATCCTTAAGGTGTTGTTGTCAAAGGGCACAAAGGCAGCTCAGTCTTTTGTTTTCATGTCCATTCATCCGTCACAGGGCTTAAGGTTTCCACTGAGAGCCGAGCCTTCGTCTTCATCAGATTTCAGCGGCTCCTCCTGGGAGAGTTGGCTACCGGACTCTGCTATTGGACAGACATAAAATAACTGCTCGCAAAGCCGATTCATGCTCGTTCGCCGGGTGATAAACCAGCCGTGGCGTGTCAGTGTCATGGTGTCACATGTCCTGATAGCGCCACATGATCCCCAGATGTGTGTAACTAGCTCTGAAACACCAGCTGAGTCTACAACAGCCACAATAACCAGAAACTACGTTTACTTCCTCCACTAAACATCAGCTCTGCTGGGCCGATGATCAAGATGCTTGTTCACTCAATATAGTCATGACAAAAATCTAAAATAGCACTTTCTAACCGCCAGTATCACCACTCTGAGCCATGCCGTGAGCAACCATAACCATTCAAGCAAAGTGCAGATTAGGGCTGCATGATGAGGAAACTATGTGATGAAGTGAATAGCTGTATTCAGTTCTGCCTTTGTGCTTCTTTTAGTATAATGTTCAAACAAAAAAGCGTTTGTTGAATAAGTCCATATCTTGCAAGGATGACTAAATATTCTTCTTTTTATTATAGTTTTTTGATATCCTCATTAACAAAGTTTCTATGCTTTTGTGGTGAAGAAATGACACGGCCATTAGCTGCTTCAATCATTTAACAACGTTCTTAATGTGAAACTGCATCAACAAAATGTTGGCTTGAAACATTTAATACCACAATGATTAATGAGTCAGAATTGACAAAGAAGAGACCTACAAATAAATGTAAATTAAAAAAATGCTTTTTGTCTGATTGGAAGCAGAGAGTGGAATGTGTTGAGCCATTTAGCACAAGGCTTTGGTTTGAATGAGAACACTCACATTACTTGACACCATTTTCCAAAGCCTGAGTTTGAATTTATAATGTTTTTATATTCCAGTCAACTGCTGTTAACAATGATTTTCAAATCGGTTCAGTAGGAACATCAAGCAGGCAAACAAGCAGACATATTTGAACAGTCTTCAATGCAAAACCATGCAATGACAATGTAAGTTTAAGAACAATTCCAAAGGACAATAATTGTATGTTCATACTTTATAGTCTGGATTCTCCGGTTTCCAACTAATGACAGGCAGGTTAGGCTAACCGCCGGCAACTCTGAAATGCTTGAATGCGTGTGAAAGGTTGTAAAAGATTCAGTAGGTGCTTTGTATTATTAAACACAAAATCATATACAAATGAAATATGCTTGCTATATAGCAGTCCTTCTTGTTGATTTCAAACATAGCCCACAATGACACAAAACACCAACAAAAAAAAAGTGCAAAATAAACGTTTGTGTCCAACAGCCAAGAGTGCGTGATGCAAATAGCCACATGCATATTTGATCACCAGTTATCTGGTAAATGGTGATCATGTTGTGCCCTGCACCTAAACGTGTTAAAGGGACGGTAACTATAGTTTAAATTAAGTATGTATATGCAAAGCCCACGGTATAGAAATGTAATGAAAATCAATGGCTGACTGAGGATAAGAGGTGCTCAGACCTTACACCAGGCATTTTGAAATGCTGACATGCCTCTCTACATCAGGGACGCACAGACTGTCCCTTTCCTGTAAGTCACATGTTGTTACCTGGGGAGTGGGGAAAGCAGAAGGCAAAAGGTAGGCCAAAGGATTTAGAAAAAACACATTTCTATTGGCCAACTCATAAGCCAACAATCCATAAAGCCTTGGACAGAGAGTGCCCAATACTAAAACCTTGTAAAAGTTAAATATGAACTCTGTTTATGATTATGGTTGAACATTAAAGCTCTGCTGCACTGGCGTATTTGTTTCATCTTTTCATTCTTTTTTTGTCACTGGGTGTGGTGAGGAGGTTGTTAGGACTTGTCGGACGAGCTTCGGAGTGAACAACATTTTCTAAAGGAGAATGACTCATGTCTAATGCATAACACACGAAAGACTTGCTCTCCATGTTTCATCATGACTTACTGTGCTATAACTGCACTAATAAACATTTGATTTGAACATGTTATGTTACGTGTATCACATGATCTCGGTTCTGTGCACTATAACCAGAGACATGTGGACAACAAACCTCAATAAGGATTTGTACATTGAAGATGTGACGGAGTCAGTAAAGTCATAAACTAATAAAAGTGTGAGGTAATTTTTTCAGATTGCACACAAAAATAATAATAATTGGAAACCAACTTTCCTGACACCAGCGGTGAAATCTAATAGAGTACATTTACTCATTGTACCGAAGTGCTGAGTCTTTTCATGTTATGCTACCTTGTACTTCTATTCATCTACTACATTTTGGAAGCCAGTATTGTGCTTATTACTCCTCTAAATGTATCCGACAGCTTTTCATTATTTTTTCCAGATTCAGATTACAAGTGAATACAAAATATTACAATATTGTAAAAAATCATATAAATAAAAGTTTCAAGCAGCAGTACTCGAAGTAATTCAAATGAGCTCCAACGTAACCTGCTTAGATAAACACACTAATGTATCAATAATCCAGTAATTTAATATATATTATTATTATGAAAAGGGCCAATCTACTTTACTAAAGCAAGTATACTTTTGTACTTATTGCACTTTTTTGGTAAATACAAATTGTTAAAACTGACTACTTTTCCCACTTCTACACACAATATACATAATGCAGTGGTTTGACATACTGGCCCCCTATTTAGGTGAAAGGGCTTCAAATGGGCCCTATACATAAGGACAACCATTCCTGTTCGGAAACCCTGGAGCCTGGTCTATCTCACACACAGCTGAGTCAACACACTGATCCGGGGGACCAGCCCGGGCTTTCCAATGCTCCTAATGCACGTTTTCAGATGACAACAAAAGTGACCATTAACTGATGTTATGTGAGCAACAATGATCGGGCCCTGTAGGCTTAAGAGACACAATTCGACCAAAAACCACACCACTTCCATGCTTATACACAACCTGCCACTGTTTACAGTCATATCCGACGTTCAAATGCTCCCTTTGAAGGCAGTTTGATAATGAGCTGCTGTGTTTTTACGCTCGTAAAACATACCCCTTGTGCACAGCTAACTTATATAATAGTACTTACTCTGTGACAGCACGTATTTGCTGGAACATGCCGCGAGGTTGCATCTCCGGACGGGCGTTATCCGGTGACGGTTGGCGTGTCTGAAGAGCTGCCGGTGAAGCTGAGAGGCGAAAGGTCTTATTACGGATGACAAAGTCACCATATTGATAAAGCTAACGTGAATAGCTTTGCAACAAGCGGATGCAAAACTTGTTTTTTTCCGCGCGCTGTTTTATTTGACGCTAGCTGTTAGCACTAAAGTTAGCTCGGTAAACAGTCTGTTCACAACAAAACTATCTTCTGCTTGTTCTGCTCGCAGTCTGCCCTCCTACCGTGTGCCCGGGAGGCGGGGGAAGGGGCAGGCTTTTCTTTACACACATTCAAAATGTGACCGCAGAAACCCTGAACCTGTTTATCCTAAAGCTATGGCGTCATTTCATCGGGATAAATAGCGTCAGTGACGGACCAAATCGATAAACGATAAGATTGCCCGGCCGTTAGAAACGGTTTGCTCCGCAGCGCTGAAGTGAGAGGAGGGGGGCAATAGAGTTGACCAATCAGAGGCCTGCATCGAGGGGCGTAAATGGTGATGATGATGATGATGGACAGATTAAATACAGACAGGTGGGATCTGTTTTTATCCAAATTAATTGTACATGTACATATTCGACAATAGTTATCATCAGCACAATACCCTACTGTTAGTTGCAATTATTAACATGACCTATTATTAACAATAATCATTTACATCATAAAGGCCTTTTGTTTTTTTATCCATTTTAGCCAAAAGTTGTTTTTTTATCTTTTTAATTCCCTTGTTACTTTCCAAAAATTGTTTAATTATTGTTTTTTTAACACTGCTTTCCGATTGTGGTGTGCTAATTAAATTGTCAAATTACAGGACCATGTTGCTTTTAATTAAGTACATCATCTGTAAATATGTTACATTACATGTTAAGGTGCTTCATTCAAAATTGTACAGCGGGTAACGTACATAAGTATTATTACAATATTACATTGAAGTATTGCAAGTAGTTGAAATACATGATGTTAAGGCAGCTGTTAAGTGTAATGGTGTAATACAGACTGGTGGGGTAGTTTATAATATGTGTAATATTTAATACAATCATAATTAGATTTTCTGATAAAGTAATTACATTTTTACATTTGTTATGTATCGTTGAATGAAGAGCAAGTAAAGTCATGTTTTGAAAAGAAAAGCCTGAGAGTATTTTCTGCGTTGGTCCATGAAACGTACTTGTGTTTACCATTTTTAGTTTTGTTTCCATTGTGAATTTCTATTCTGTATTTCATCTAAGTAAACAATTTATCATCAAGCTTGTTTATCGTAGTGTGTATTGTGTGGAGGGATGTAGTGTTGCATAAAGGTTACTCTTCTCAAGAATGTGACGCTGTACAGAGCTGACCACATGACTGACTTGAATCCCTGAAACTAGCAAATAGATCAGAACAACAAGAAACAGACTTGTGATATTAGTGTTTACTTTGACTCTTTCTCTGAACCTTCACATAGTCACGATAAACAAGCGCTTATGGCATAGAACACTTTCCCTCTACGGTTTATAATATTAGGATGGATATGTAGTATAGTAAAAACATGCCAAATGATTGGGATTTCTTTACTAAAGGGGCTCTATTCTGCTCATGTTCATATCTGTATTCTACTGTGACATGTCTCCATGCTTTAATGTCCTCATACTGCCTGTGCTGCAGCACCTCTTTTCACCCTCTGTCTGAAACCAGAGCCCAGTCTGCTCTGATTGGTTAGCTGTTGGGATTAGTCATCTGCCAAAATATGTCCCGCCTCTAAGCTCATCACAATTTGTCAGAGCGCTAGCCAATAGAAACAAGAGTGTTACTTAGTGATGTCATTATATTATGAAAGTAAATAAAAGGAGTCCAATCGAGCAATTCAGGCTTTACAGACCATTTACATGCACACTACAGGAACGGGAAAAACACAAAAAACATAATAGGGCCCTTTAAATTGAAAGTGAGTCAAATAAACAAGACTACATGCTGCATTTTGTTGAGTTTATTGTTGGTCCAGTGGCATTAGCCTTTCAAAAACAAGTCAGATCACAATGAAATATGAAATGATGGACACTGAAACAGGAGATGGACTGGAGAAGACCGCAGGAGCTCAACTGCTGTGCATTGTGCAAGAGGTTATCATGTTAATTCAGTGAAGGAATCCTCTACGGTATGAAAGCAACCACTGCTTCAGGTCAAACCACTTCTTTCTTAATGCTTCTTTGCTTAAAAAGAACCAATTTATGCTAATACAAATGGACTGTATAGTGTTAACATTAAACTACTACTAGCCTGTATCATTAGCCTTCAGGATACACCTAAACTATTTTTTTGTCCCTTTTATTTCCCTTTCCTAAAAGCTGGACACCTCATTGTTGCATACTTTTGGAAGGCATGATTACGAAAATGCATCCAAAACATCTTACCTCTAGAAAAGAGGTAGCAGACCAACAACCCCCCTGAACATCATGGCCGTTTTCCATCTGTATCTCCCCTACAGTAGCACAAGCTGCAGAATCCTGGGTCTCACCGTCCCTTTACAACCAACCATTACAATCCAAGAAAATGTTTTGGGTTTTTGTTACCTGACCACAAAAACACCCTGACTGAAAAATACAGTACGTTTATAAAAAAATACCAAAAACAAAATGTATTTTATAGGGACCAGTGAATAATATGGATAACAAAAGTTTACAGTTTTTTTCAAAACATTAAAAAATGTAAAGTCTATTTACAGCATCATGTCAGAACGGCTGGAGTATGAAAGCACAAACACAGAGTTGGGGGGTGGAGGTGTCGAAAGATGAAGCAGGGCAGTAAATTGTTCTTCATAAAAGAGGTGTTTTATTCAAACCTGTCAGTCTCGAGTCAAAACGGTAAGCGTTCAAAGAGTTCTCAGTCCTTCAGGCAGGAGGGGTTAGTCCAGAGCGATGATGTCATCGTCATCATCATCATCATCATCATTGGTAGGGGCAGCAGCTGCACCCGACTGGTCCATTCGTAAACGTTTGCTGGAGGACTCTCCGGTTTCTGCGTCTGAGTGCCTCCTTTTGGTGGCGCTGGATGGTGCTGCTGCTGCTGCCGAGCTGGACGACGCCCCTTCCTCGTCAGATTCAACGATCATGATGTCATCATCGTCTGCCGGAGCTGAAAGGTGGAGGACAACAGTGTTTACAGATGGTGAAGAAACAACTACTATTTGTTTCCACCAACACCAGAATGCTCAAAACAAACAACTAATTGCGATAGAGAGGTGCAGTGTCGAGTCCTAAAACCCGGAAGTGAGTTAGCATTTGACCACTTCCGGTTCTCTCGTCTCAGAGTCAACGGTTTTTTGAACATGTTTTTGGAAAATAACTGGTGACTTTTGAAGAGTTTACGTGTCTGAAAAACGATGGTTGTTAACAAGTGACTGAATAGGACTACAGAAGTTGTGGAGGACGTTGTACGTCATTACACTGAACACGTAAACACTCCTCTACCTGCCTCCTGCAAACTGTTCAAACAAACACTTCAACTGGTACCATTTACAATCTGTATGTTTGAATATCGATCTTAAGTTGGCGTGACGTTGAAGTCGTGCGACCCTGCTGTAGTTCCTTTATAGCATAACGTTAGCATTTTGCTTCAGGCGATTAGATTTATGATTCGAAAATGATAAAAGTAGGGTAGACATGTGGATATTATCCGGCTGAACAAAACGTGCATTTATCAAACAGGTTCGTTTTCCACAGACCTTATTTCCAGCTATTTTCCAAAATCCTATGGAGAAATCCCACTGCTTTCTGTCGAGGGAACCCGAGCGCAGCTTACTTCCGGGTAAATACGTCATCCCTGCACCACTCTATTGACGTCTTCATAAAGTACGTTTTGTAGATCCACAGCAATTATTTTCTGTTGTTGTAGATCAGCTAAAGACGACTTAAGACTCAAGAAGAGGCCATGCATCACGCCAAGCTTAAATCATCCTATGACAGAGCCTCAGTACAGGCAGTGTCAAACTGCAGTCCTCCACCTGCAAACCTGTACCACCTTCTGGCAAGGAAGGTTATTTTAGCGAGTCTATGAGTTGTTTGGTCTATAAAAACAAAACAAAAGAATATGCAGATACGTTTTTCGCAAAACCCAAGATAACATGCTCAAATGGCTATATTTCTGTTAAAGAGATGTAAAAAAACAAAACATTTACATTTAAACCACTGGAATCAGATACTTAAAAAAAAAAATACTAATCAATGTATATTTTCAAGTAAAAAAAGGCAGCTCCCCTAATCTGAATGGGACCAGTCCGTGTATGCATTGAGGGTGATGGCACAGAGGAAAAAATACATTAACCAAGGCCACCTTGAAACTAGCATAACTTCTTTCTTGAATGCAATGGAAGGTCAGTGTGAGAAAAAGTTTTAGAGAGTACTTGTCCATGGACAAGTGAGTTTGGCAATTTACTTGTCCGAATACATGTTTCACTTGTCCAGAATGGACACAAATTGGGGCCACTGGAATCTTCTTCTTCGTCATCGTATTTTACATTTTCCAACGGTTTTTACGACACCGCTCAACGTAAGTGAGCGGTAAGATTTTACTGCATCACACATAGGGTTGGGTATCGTTTGGATTTTAACGATTCCGGTTCTGCTTTTCGATTCCGGTTATTTTCGGTTCTCCATTCCGGTTCTTAAGAGGGTAAAAATAAGTCCCATGACAAACTGGGAGAAAAATATATTTATGAAAACATTAAGTCAAATCTGTATTCCTATTTACAAATCACTTCATACCGTTTAATTTCTTACGGTTATTGAATACAATTATATAAAAATAATCTCTGCATTGTTTAGTTAGTTCTAAGTGGTGCAGTTTGAGAATGTACAATTGGCCCAGTGTCCTCTGATGTTACACTGCAACCTGCCTGTGAGACAGAGTCCAACCACACATGTCCAACACATAGGACATAACCTAATAATAATAATACATTATATTTATAGCCTATAGGCCTAGCGCTTTTCTACAACTCAAAGACGCTTGCACGCTTACCCATGTCCTGCA